TGAAACTAAAACAAGCATTGAATACGACCGTCAGTGCCGGCGAGTCCAAAAATGGCGTCGTTTTACCTCTTTCCGCCTTGCATATAGAAATCTCGCCTTGGCAATATCATTCCCATAGAACATTCTGGTGTGCGCGTAGACCGCGTGCCTTCACTCATTGCATCCTCCATAAAAAAAATCCACCGCGGCAACTTGGGGAGCTCTAAAAAGGTCCTTTTTAGTTTTTAATTTATTTTGAATCACATTTACAGTTATCATTTTTCAAAAATACTTTTTAAAAAGTTCTATTTTTTAAAAAGTTCTACTTTTTTATTTTTTATATTTTTTTTGTTTTTACTGAATTTTTTTAATATTTTGAGCAAATTTTTTAATTTTTAGACATACCTAACATAAATATACCTAAAAAGTAAAAAAAAATTGAAAAAAACCTTTTAAAAATTCACTAAATACCAAAAATATAAAAAAATACGAGAATTCAGTACATTTTTTTAATATTTTTATGTATTTATTAATTTTTAAAAATATTTTTTCACAAATTTTTTACTTTTTAGATACATCTAAGTAAGATGCATATAAAAACGTAAAAAAAAAAATTTTAAATTTTAAAAATATTCATTAAAAACAAAAAAATACGAAAACAAAAAAATTCAGTTTTCAAAAAACTTAATTTAAAAAACCCAAACCAAACACACGGATTGTTTCTTATATATTTTTATTTATAAATTGATAAAAAAGTTAAAAATTAAGTTTTAATCAACTTAAAAACTAGTGTTTTTTATTTTCGTTTAAAAAAAAAATATGTAAAAAATTATAAAAATGATGTGATTCGAAAAAATAAGAAATCAAGAAGTTAGATAATGTTTGATTTACGTTTTAAATGTTGACTTTGTTTTTAAATCATGATTTAAATGAAACATGTTAACCAAATATATTTTTAAAATATAACTCAAAATTACTTTCAAAATTCTTCCTTTTTTTTATATTATTATTATTAATCAATCAATCAATAACTTTTTTTTTTCCCTTTTTCTTCCATATCTCCTTTCTCCTTGTACATTTTCTACATCATGAATCAATAAAAAAAAAAAATACATATCATTAAAAAAATTATTTTCAAAACTCATAATCAAATACATTTTTTACTTTTTAAAACTCAACTAAAGACTCATAACTCAAATCATGATTATAAAATTAGACCAAATAGAACCCTAACTTTTAACTTAATTACCAAAATAGGCCATAATCAACTGCCACAACCCGTTTGGTAGAGCTGTGGAAAAATGATTATAGATTATAACTTAACAGATTATGACTTATAGCTTTAAACATAAGCTGTTAACCTGTTTGGTGCAGCTGTGAGATTATAGATTTAAGCAGCAGAGTAGTGTTTGGTTAATAAGCTGTAAAATAACGTTTTACTGTATAATTGTCCTTTCTACCCTTATATGATACAAAAATAATTATTTTGTCATTGTTTTCAGTTTAATTTTTTTTAAAAAAATATTTCATTAATAAAAGTTAATATAAGTAGAATTAATTAGTATCAATTAATATAAAAGTTGATATATTTGCTAAAAATGTAATGGAAGTATTATTGTCATAATTATTTTCCATTATAAATTAATTAGTATCAATTAATTGCTTAATTAGTATCAATTAATACTAAAATTATTAATTAGTATAAATTAATATTAATATTTAATTTTTATTAGTATCAATTAATATTAATAATCAACAATTGTTATTAATTAGTATCAATTAATAATTAATTCATTACAAAAGTATACAATATTAATTTATTAATAATTAATACCAATTAATATTGATTTTTTAATTAATATTGATTTTTTTATTATTTTTCTTCAGAAATATACAATTTTTTATTTTTTAATTAATATAAAAATATACAATATGAATTTATTAATAATTAATACCAATTAATATTGATTTAATTCATTACAAAAGTATACAATATTAATTTATTAATAATTAATACCAATTAATATTGATTTTTTAATTAATATTGATTTTTCTTTTTATTCAGAAATATATAATTTTTTATTTTTTAATTAATAATATTAATATTTGGGTATTGAGGAGGCCATTTAAGTAATTTTAGCCCACAACACCAGCTGCGCGCTTAAGTAAAAAATTTAAACACCTCCTGACCAGCTTTTGAGATAAGCTGAGAAATAGTTTGATTTAAGCTATAAGCTGGTTACTTAGGCCCCGTTTAGTGTAGCTGTTAAAACAGCTTATAGATTATAGCTTAACAGATTATAGATTATAACTTTAATCAGAAATTGTTAATCTGTTTGGTGTAGCTGTTGGATTATAGATTTAAGTTGCTGAGTAGTGTTTGTTAAATAAGCTGTGAAATAGCTTTTTTAATTAATTTTTATTTTTTATTTGTCTGCATTTCTTATAAAAAATAATAATAATAATCTATAGTCTATTTGAGTCTTTTTCTATTTAAAAAAAATAAAAAATAAAAAAATTTAAGAGTGTAATCATAAATTAACATGTCCGCAGCAGAAGCTGATAATCAGAAGCAAGGGGTGAATAGCTTCTCAGAATCAGTTTTTTTGAGTTAAAATAAGCTGTTAGAATCAGAAACTGTTTGAAATAAGTTTAATCAAATAGTCCAAAATAACTTTTTCAAAACTAAAAGTCATAAGTTGGCTCTGAAAAACTGAAACAAACACCCCCTTAAGCTACACCAAATACAATATTTTAACTTAAATTAAGTTAAAAACTGAAATAAGCAGATTATAAACTCTATTAAACAGGCCTAATGGCCTTTTGGTAACTTCAAATATTAGGCCTCGTTTGGAGAGTAATTATTTTACAAAAAAAAATCACTATAAATTATCACATCATCTTTTTATTTTCCTGCATATCTTTTCGTAAAAAGTAAAAAAATTTATTATTATAACTTATTCTCAAACGTGACCTTAGAGTAAATATTATAACTCATAAAAACATAAGCCAAAAACTCTTTATCATTTTTTTTTTCTTAAATTATGTTTATTTGTATTTTGGATGAAATGTTAATAATTTTTAAAATGTACTATTGTGAACTGTTTAATCATTTTTTTATAAAAAAAAATTAAAAAAAAAATTTATGAACCTAAAGGCCTCGTCATTTAAGCAATTCGCACTATAAAAATTTTGAATTTCTCTCATTCTAAAAAATTTGATATCACGAATAAAAACGTGATACTCTAATGTAACACACTAAAAAAATTATTTGTATACTTTTTTCAAATATAATAATGTAACACTAAAAAAAAATTCTTTAGTGTATTTTTTTTCAAATATAATACTTCAATGTAACACGAACATAGCACTCTAATGTAACATACTCCAATCAAGTAATACTCCAATTAACGTAATCCCAAATGTAATACTCTAATGTAATATGCTCCAATGTAACAAAAAAAAAAAAAAAAAAACCTCCTTAGTGTATTTTTTTAAACGTAACACTCATAATTTGAAATTTTATATTTGCCCAAAATTTATTAAGAATTTTTTGTACTCATTTTTGAATGGCGTGAAGAATCCCACATCTTTTTATAATGGTATGAAAAATTCCACATCATTTTTTTAGAATATTACGTTTGAGAAAAGTACGTTAAGAAATTTTTTGTGTATTACATTAAAATCTTACACTAAGAATTTTTTTGCGTTACATAAAAATGTTACATTAAGGAGTTTTTTTTTTGTGTTATATAAAAATGTTACACTAAGTAGTTTTTTTTGTGTGTTACATTAGAGTGTTACACTAAGATTTTTTTTTTAGTGTTATATTAGAGTGCTACGTTTGAGAAAAATACACTAACACTGTGTTTGGTTGGGAGATTTGGAAAGAGAAAGATAAAATGTGTGTGAAACTATGTGAAATATAGGTATATTTTATTCATATTTCACATACAATTTCCATTTCTATTTCTAAATCACTTCTCAAATCTCCAAACAAAATACAGCATGAAGAGTTTTTTGAGCATTATATTAGAGTGTATGTTATATTAGAGTATTACGCTAAGAAATTTTTTTAGAGTGTTATATTGGAGTGTTACGTTTTAGTATTACATCAGAGTATTACAGTTTAAAATTATATATTTGTCTAGAACTTATTAAGAAGTTTTTGTACTCCTTTTGAAATGTTTGAAGAATTAAACATTCTTTTGAAATGTTTGAAGAATTTCATATCTCAAGTAATTTTTATACTCATTTTGAAATGTTTTCCAAATAAAAAAGATTCTCATATAAAAACGCATCTAAAATTTGATTTTTATATATTATGTACTTTACTTTTTTAGCAAAAAAGAAAGAAAAAGATAACAAAACACAATAGAAATAAAGGTATAACCATAAATCTAATTTTCAAATAATATATTAAATTTATATTTTCAAAATCAGTGAAGCTAATTGGCTTATAAAAAATCTTGGACTAAATAGATTATCATTCTTCAAAATAAGATTTATAAATAAATTTTCCTTGTTTTTTAATAATTGGGTGTACAAGTTTTTGAAAACTAAATACATATATATATTTTTAATAATTGCGTGTTTAGATTAGTTTACACATACGAATAAAATTTTTGAACTTAAATTTATTGTCAAGTTTTTATTGCACAGGCAACCTTTGAAGTTTAAAATTATGTTTACATAATAAACTATAAAAGAAATTTGCACATAAAAATTAATTTCTAAGTAAAAAATATAATTCAAAAATTACCTTTCAAAAATTTGAATTACATAATGGAAAATGCATGAGACCCCCAGTGGGGGTACTGGGGGTCTCTCCTGATTGGTCCAAAATAATTTTTTTTTTTTTTTTTTTTTTTTTTTTTTTTTTTTCCTTTTCCTTCCATTGCCAGCCCCCCGCGTGGAGGTGGGGGTGCTGGGGGTCCTTCCCTGCTGGGGGTCTCCAGCAGGATATGACGTGTGAAAATAGAAGTTGGGGCATAAAAACGACAGCGGCGACTCAACACAAAGTAGTAGGTGTGGTTCCTGCCTTCAAGTCTGCAACTCCCTTTCCAAACACACACACAGAGAGAGAGAGAGAGAGAGAGAGAGTCGACGATCGGAAAAGATGGGTTGGATGAGTCGATTCATAGCAGCGGTGGCTTTCTTGGCAATCGGAGTCATATTCTCGCCGGAGACATTTGGATCATCTTCACCAAAGCTCCCCACCTACCTCAAACTCGCTCACCTCCTCTGCTTCTCCACCGCATGGGGCGCTGCTCTCTGGGTCACCTTCATTGGCGGCATCATCATGTTCAAGTATTCTCTTTTCTTTTCTTGCTCATTTTCCTCACAACCAAACATTGATTTGGTTATGTTCTTGTAAATTATAGGAATCTTCCGAGGCATCAGTTTGGAAATCTGCAAAGCAAGATGTTTCCGGCGTATTTCACGATGGTTGGGGCTTGCTGTGCCATTTCAGCGGCGTCTTTTGGGTATTTACATCCCTGGAAATCGGCTTCTATTGCAGAGAAATATCAGCTAGGGTTTCTTCTCTCTGCCTTCGCTTTCAATCTCTCCAATCTCTTTGTCTTTACACCCATGACCATTGAGGTAAATTCTTTTCCTGTCCCTAGATTGTTTGCCAATTAATCTCCTCTTCTGTATGTTTGTGCAACAATTATGAGGCTTATGTATTTTTTACAATCAAATTAACAAATTTGAAACTATAAGCCTTCATATTTTCAAGGAAAAGTTATTGAGCAATGTTTAATTTTACTTCATCCCTAAACTATTGTCATTTTGCTTCTATCTATTCAGTCCTTAAGAGTTCTGATTTCATGTAGTCCAATTTTTAACACTTGTCCAAATCAGAAACTTTGAAGTCTAATTTGATGGCTAGAAAATCATTTCATAATTTGAACAACTTAAGTGAGGGCGAGAGGATGAGGGAGAGGGAGAGGGAGAGGGAGGGGGAGGGGTGGAGAAGAAGATGGGTGTAAGTTGTCTGAAGATGAGTGTTTGGTTTGGTTACAAGATATATAGGTTGTCTAATTACACTGTTACTAATTGGAACAAGTGTCTCCTATTGGTCTATATGAACCGAAATCAGAATCTCTATATCAACCGAAGTTGTTAATTTACGATTAATGATCAATTTAGCTTATGATAATTCTATCAGAAAGACTGCACCACTCTACTCGTCCTTATCAAGAATGAATTTCTGTTTGTTGTCTTGACTTGATAAGATTAATATATTGGTATTGAGTCATGTGTTCTTTTGTAGTCAATGGTAGTTTCTGTACCTATGTATTTTGAACTTCTTGTTCATTCCAAGTTCCGAGTTTACTTGTATCTTTTTATATCTTAATGGGGTTTTGCGTTATAAGTGAAATTGTTTCAATCTTTTGGATAGATGATGAAGCAAAGGCACAAAGTCGAGAGAGAAGAGAACATTGGAGAGGAAATTGGGTGGTCGAAGAACCAAGAAGCTGCAAAAGTCAACCCAAAGCTTAAAGCAATGAACAAGAAATTTGGGATGATTCATGGCTTATCATCTCTTGCTAATATCATGTCTTTTGGTAGCCTCGCCATGCACTCTTGGTACTTAGCAGGTAAAATGGATCTTTAGATCGTGTCCTATTTCCCCGCACTGGGAAAGTATGTCTTCTCACCGTGGTTTCATGTTTTACTTGTTTACATTCCAAGTCATGTATCACCAAGCAACACATTTTGAATAAACAAGGTACTTGTTTCTTTATGAACTTTGATGGAATTACATGGCTAAACGCACTAGTGAAAGGTCTCTTCCATTGACTTTGTTGGGGAACAATATAATATGAGTGTGTTATTGTTATAGCTTTTGAATCCTTTTACATTAACTGAATTTGTTTAATATGTTCAGTTTATCTTTTGATTTTAGGAAGTAGCTTTTAAGCATTTGATTTTTTTTAATATCACATTACCTTAATTCCCTTCCCCCTCCCCCTCCCCCCCCCTCTTCCTTCCTCCTGAAGATTTCTTGATGAAGTAAAACTATGGGACAATTACTTAAAAGAACACCCATTTTCAAAGGTGCCTACCTTATCAGAGTTATTCAATGAAATTGGATATGCTATCTTGTTTCTACTACAGAAAATGGTTGTGTTAATTCTTTCTTGTACTTGGTATGTTTAACCAATGTTGTTCATTGTAATATATATTTAAAGTTTCAAATACCCCCCATCCAGTATATTAAGATATTGATTTGAAGTGTTGTAAATATCTCTTAAAGCTAGAATCTTTTGATCTATGGATGCAACCAAAAGAGTAGTGCCAACATTGATGGTGCAGCTGATGAAAACCTTACAAGTTTAACATGTTTGAGATATGTTTTGGAAATTTACTGTGAAATATGTTTTATTTGCTGACCTTTCTAGAGATTTTGTGATGCTTGTTTTAGGGATGGGTGGGGCTGTGCGTGCATTCATATGGAACCATCATGGTTATTGCTTGCTGTTGTTGATTGTTTGATTGTTGAGTTTAAAATGTAGTGCCTCATCAAAGAAAGAGTATAGATTTCAAACTTGTGAATTTATAATGATTCCTAAAATAAATGAGTAATATGCATATCCATGTTATTGTCAGACCCCTATGGGCATTATTGACAATTGTATTGAGGTTCGATTTTGTTGAGTGGGCAAAATGGTTCTCTTTGAACTTTTAAGAACATTGTGGAGAATTTTGGTTCGTTTTCTGTTAAGAACTCTCTAGGCTTTTAGTTCTTTCTGTTTCTCGTATGACTTTTATACGTGCGTTTTACCTTGTTTGGTGCTTCTATTGGAGATGCTTAAATTCCAATCAACAGCTGCTAGAATCCTTATACATTCGACAGATTGCTGCTTGCAAGTTTAGAGGGCAGGCCCTCAATGCCTTGTGGACTTGTTTATAACTGGATCTCCAGTTATTCTAATCTATTTATTTCTCACCATATCTCACCGTTAATAAAATTGATAAAATAAATTGGCCTTGTTTTGTTTATCTCTTGAGATACAATTTTGAGAAAAAGTTTCAAAATTTTGATTTTTTTTTTTTTTAAAATTACTTCTCTCCCCTACACATTAATTAATTACTTTTTTTTAATCTTTTCTCATATTTTACAAATCAAACAATTAATTTTTCTCACACTAATCTATTCAACTGCAAAAAAAAATAATAATAATAATAATAAAAATAAAATCATCCAAAATTATTTGAGGAAATATCGTTTTAACTCTTAAATTTTTACGCATTTTCAATTTGATCTTCAGACTTCGATTAATATTAATTTTACATCTAAATTTTCAAAATTTTGATTAAATTGGCCCCTATCGTTACAATTTGACCGAATGTACTGACGTGACACCAAAGTTTATTTGAAATTTTATTTTATCTCAAATTATACCTTAAAAATCAATTTGCCCCCCTTCCACACGGCAATACATTTCGTCCAATTGTAGACAGAATGTGACGGCAGAGGCCAAATTGATCAAAATTTTGAAAGTTTGAGTGTAAAATTGATATCAATCGAAATCTGGAAGTCAAATTGAAAAATACATGAAAATTTGGAGAGCGAAATGATATTTTCTCAAATTATTTTCAAAACATACAATTAAATTTTTTTCAAAATTTGTAAACTCTTTTTAAAAAATTATTTTTCAAAATTGTTTCACAAATGCAAGCCAAACATAGCTATTATTTTTCTCATAGCTTGTTCCGTGCATCTTCTTGCAAGAAGTGGAAACTAAAAAAGCACCCAATCCCAATTTCTTTATAGTTTTAAAAATAAATTAAAGAAATTGTTTAAGCTATTTTTTTTTTTTAATAAGTCGTATGCAGAATAAATTTTTTTGGGAGAGTTTCTCGTTAAGGTAGGTTTGGGTTGGGGTGAAAATAAAATTCCGATAGTGCTTAGGTCAGGTGTAGGAGAGGATAACTCGACATGATCATATGTACTAATAAAAAAAATTCACAATACAAAATTTTCAAAAAAATAAATTTAAATTTCATCTTATACTTATCAAATTACTTGCGTTAATTTAAAAATTAAATTTGTATAAAATAATTTTTAAAATTACAAAATTTAGCATTTAATCTTAATTTTTAATTTTCTATTTTATCAAATACCACCTTAATGTGAAGTGCTTTAAAAATAGTCTTAATTTGTGACAAATAGTATCGCTATTATTGTGTAGAATTTCTCAATTATTTGTGACAATTCAAGTTATCCTATCCTTGACAAAAACAAAAATAAAAATCATGAAAACAACAACAACAATCTCATGCTCTAACATTAAAAAAAGGGAACTTCAAATATTATATGGGGTCCTTGGGCATGATATATATACTAGTGGATGCTCGTGCCTGAAGGTACGGTATAAATAATGTTGGTATCACATACTTTATAAAAATTAATTAAAATAACTCAATTCAAAATGGTAACAATTTCACTGCTACAGAAATCAACTGTAATAAATTAATTCAAAATGACAACAATTTCATTGCAATATAAAACTTTACACATAAGTCGAAATAACAAATTACAGTTTTGGCAAACTTCATAATTAAAGTTTTAATAGCAAATTTATAATATAAAAATGTTGTGTACAACATAAACAAAGATATTTACGCCAAAATAACACATGTTCAGTGAATTAAAATGAGGCAACCTTCAATAAAAGAATATGTCTAAATTAGTATTATAGCTGAGTGAACATTTTGGTACAAAAGAGTAACCATCCTAACTTTAAAAAAATAAAAAATAAAAAAGAAGAAAAATTAATCATCCAATTTAGAATGAAAGAGCCAACCATCAACACGCATAGAAAAACAACACAATCCCAACATTTGTAAGGTGGATTAGTCACCTACAACAAAAATTTACTTTAAAAAACCAATTAAAAAAAATCATAACAGGAACAATCATATCAAAATACCTTTGAAAAACAAATAAACCAATAACAATGAATTAACAGGAATTAAACATATGATCAAGAACCTTTCAATTTAGTTCCCAAGTCTCTTGATTAGTGTATATCATAACTTGTGAGTTCACCTGTTGCTGCTTAATGAATATGAATTGCTAAGTATACCTCTTCTTTCTTTTCCTTTTCCAATTGAACATGAAGAATTTAACAATTTAGATAATACATGAAAACAAATGAAAATAAATAATTACATCTTATTTGGAATCCCATTACAGGTAGGCTCATGGCAAAAAGCTTTGTCCAATTAATTATTATATAACAATTTACTCAAAATTCTCATTATCACTGTTTTTCTTCAATATACTCATCACAGCAAAATAATGCATAATAAAAAACCCAATAAAAAAATTTAAATACAAAGATGTTATCTTCTGCAATATCATGGACAATTGCCACTTTTATACACCTGAATTGAAGGAAAAATAAATTTAAAAGTCAAAGTTAAAATATATCACTTTAATTGAGTCCAAGATTCACAAAAAAAAAAATAATAAATAAAAAATTAAAATAAAAATTATGTTAGTATGAGAAAGAGATCAATACAATTTATTGTAATAAATTTTATATGTAGGTAAGTCTAATAAACGATTAGATAGCTTTTTAAATTCACAATTAGAAGCTTAAACCATAAAGTGAAATATTACCACCACCAATAAGTAAAAAATGGAATGATTGATAGATCGTACTGATGCTCAAATTGGATCAAAACATCCTAAAAAAAACTTGAATGTGGTTTTTTTTTATTTATAAATTGGAGTTCATAGCACATCTGTATTACGATGAAATGTTGTCTCTTTTACAATAATCATTGAAAACTATATATTATACCCAAAAGACAATATAAGTTGATTTTTCCTATTGCTCAACACTATTCAATTTAAATTGAATTGAATCAATCTGACATAAGACATGAGTTATTACACATATTGCTTATGTATTTTTGTAGTTTCTTTAGACCAAGAATCCAACCATCTAATTCAAGCAATCAATCAAAACCACACACAAAATAATATAAAATTCTAAACCTGCCAATATCAATAATATAAAATTTAAGCTAAAGATGCACTGTTTTATATCAATATCAATAACCTGCCAATCAATAATACCAAGAACAAAAAGAGATTAGATTCCACAATAAACATAGTTAAATAATCACACTATGAAAAAAATAGAATTTTAAAGTAGACTAACAAATAGAAGGCTTATCTGTTAAACCAATTGATGATGATGAAATTATGAACAACCAATTAGAGGATTCTATGTAAATAAGAAGACTTTTGTTAATGAGATTAGACCTGTAGTGAAGAAATAACTCATTTAATAGTGCTATAAATAGATTGGGTTTAAATAACAATGGGCTGTATAATGACTATTTGATTACTTAATTGTGCCATGAGTTAAGTACAATGGGCTATTTCTTTCTCACTATAATTCTAATTTTTAACAATCAAATAAAGACATAAGATCACAGAACATTACTTTTCATGTTAAAAAAGGAAACCCAATTCACACATTTATCAAAATCATCCAAATTATTTATCAAAACAGTAATCAGGTGACTTCAATCTCATTTATGCTTTATTTGGTTCACTGGAATGAGATGAGACGAAATGAAATGGTTATTCCTTACACTTCAAGCTGATAAGTTAGTTTGGTCTGCCACAAATCAGGTGACTTCCCAAGATTGCCACTATGGAATAAATATATTATACATATGTGTATATGTACATAACCTGATTAGAATAATAAATATTGTAAATTTAAGTAATAATAAAAAATTCCCATCAAGAATAAATATTGTAAATT